AGACCAGCAATGGGCAAAATTATATCAATATACAAAATACAGATTTATAAATGTATGTGAAAAATCAAATAGATTCCTTTGAAAAAAAGAAAAATACTAGTAATGTTGATCTGATAAAATTGAAAGAGTAAAAAAATATAAGTATGTGCCATAAAGTCAGCATCATCATTCTGAGTGTTGCATCCCCAGCTTTTATGATAACAAATGATGCAATGTCTGAGCTAGTATGAATCATAGATTTTACCATTTTACCCTGATTTTAATGTTTGTTTCATTATTTTAAAATGTTCGGCAAGTATGAATTTAGCTCCAGGTGCAAAGTGTGACTAAGGACAAAGCACATTAGCAATAATGTAAGAGCCTTTAAACACTAAATACGTTTCCATTGTAAATAATAGTCACAACATATTATAGTGAAAAGGGTGAGCCATAAAATTTTTTGCTAACGTGTCTGTGGCACAAATGAGCCTAATAAAAGCACTAATGAAAATAATTTTTTTGTATTTTGAAAATGCAAAAATACAGAAATATACCGTATATTTATACAAATTACATATGGATTTTGTAATTTCTACACATTACAAAGTGTTTTGCTAGTTTGGACCATGGCTTTTACAAATCATCATTGTCAGGATAAAACTTCAGATCTTCATGACATCATTTGAAATCACCTAATGCCCTTTACCTTATGTCAAAATTTCGTGATGAATGGACCCACAGAAATGGTCCAAAATGATTTATAATAAAAGAATCTGTCTTTAACTTAAGAGTGAAGATTTTTCTCCAGTAAACAGATTATTTAGGAGATGCAAGGTTTTGCTGTGACAGTGACAGTGTGGTGTCGTATGAGAAGAGATTCTATTAGATTGTTGTGACTGTATGAGAGGAGAGAACCCTCTTTTTTTTAGGTGCTTTCTGCTTTGAGCTAGAAGGCCGGGCCCCATTTTAATGAACAGAGGTAGAACTGAAAGAGCACTGGTGAACAGGAAGGAGATGTGTGGTGGGTGAAGAGGAAGAAGGAGCTGTGAAAATTGCTATATACCATAGACATAAACATGTAATAAATATGTCATAGCTGCAGTCACATTGTCACTGCCCAAAAAAAGTATAATCTTTTGCAATCTTTATTTTTCTACTTCATTTGCATTTAGCAGCTGCACTTTACATTGTATGAAAAGTTCATGATGAATTGACCAATAGAAATGCTTTACACTGACTTACATTAAAAGTAAAGAATGTTTTTGCCTTCTCCTGTAAAGTTACTATGCTTTAGTTTAGACGGTCACAATGTTCCGTCTTGAGTTGTTATGACTGATTTAGTTCAGTAATTTGACAGTGTCATGTTACCTTTAGCGGTAATTGTCATGACAGATGTGGTGATGTTATGGCATTTGGCATGACAATAACCAGAAATGGTAACATGACACTGTTGTAATACTGAAATGCAGAAATCTTAAGTGTGTTGATATGATTTACATATGGATTTTGTCCATGAGCACATGCAAAAAAGCAAAGTGGTGGTGTAACATTGCAGTGTGACACTGTGATATTGCAAAACAAATGTAACAACTAGCACCAATCAACAGATCACTCCAGCATGTTCATTAGTAAGCTCTGTAATATATTAATACATTTTTCTCCGTTTGAATTTTGTTTAGAATATTATGACAGTGCCAAATTGTGAATCTATAATCCAGAATCAAATTGTAGGCTGAGTATATCATAACATCTCTACAAAATAGTGTTTTTGTATTTTAAATGCATGTGTCAGATACATGTACCTGAAATACTGCACATCTATGCTATGCTTATTAACATAATTGTACCATAATCCATTGAAATGATATTTTCTTGTTGTATTGACTCCACACACCCCGTCTTGTCTACAGGCTTTTTATTTTATTGCTCTGTTTTAAAACATTAGGTTATGAAAAGATGCAAATATGTACTTTTCACCTGGGAAAAATTATTTAAGGTACACAATTGGACATTGTTTGTACCTTGATGAATGAAAAATGTAGCTGCACAGAATCTTTATTTCTAACAATGTGAGCAAGACCTGTATTAGCATCTTAGCGGTGATAAAGATGTTGTGATGAACGGAGCATTAAATCCACTCGAGCTTTGATAGATCCATCTGTAGCCGGTCATCTATCACCCAGCACGCTGCCAGTTTGGCAAGTATGTCCCCTGGCCTTCCCCATTTGGGCCTGAAAGAGTCCCCCCCGGAGTATAAGTCATACCAAAATCTGTCTGCGAAAGACAAGGTCGTCTCTCGGAGCAATATCACAGCACTCTATATGCACCAGCAGAAAATGCAGTGTCATAGTTTAACCTTCATCATCTGAGTCAGCAAAACAGGTGTGTGCTGCAGAGTAAGCGGGTTGTTAGAGAAATTGTGTAGATATGCAAATATTGAGGAATTAGAATCATTTTGTGTTGGTTTCTTTATATATCGGTGTTAGTGATGATAGATGGACGGGGCATATAGCTCGAGCAGTTTTCATTTGCTAAGTGGATGAGGTCAGTTTGGTTATAAAGTGAGCGTTCACTTGATGTAAGAGAAGGGTTTTATTTCTGCAGGCAGTAGTTTCAGTAGGTATTCAAACATACACTCACACTAGCTTTTCACTATATGAAAAAAATCTAGTTGCGATGATATTTCTACACATTTTAATTGTGACACATCTCGCAATATGTTACTGCTTTGGTCAGTCAGTAATGTGGATGGTAAACAACTGCTCTGCAAACTGTTCAGAAGTCAAAAAACAGGACTTTCCAAAAGTGGGGTTCAAAAAATGATTGAAGGATAAAGATGGGACTCCTAACAACCATGCAAGGCCTGGTAGACCACGAAAACTGTCGCCATCAGATAAACAGCACTTATAGCTTTCTTTTTTGAGAGAGAGGAGAAAATCAAGCTCTATATTAGCTCCAGATAATATCCATAGATGTTTCTGTCCGTCCCTCTATTGTAAGAAGACAACTCAACACTATGAGTCTGAAAGGATGTGTAGCTGTCAAGAAGCTGTTACTGAGAAAAGAAAGCAGACAGAAGAAAATTTGCACATCAAACAAAGAAGCTGCTGGTGTTTTCAAAACAGTGAACTGACCACTCCAGAGTCCAGACCTCAACATCACTGCATGTGTGGGGTTACTTTGGTTGTGGGACATAGAAATTGCAGCCAACTTCTAAGACTGAACTTTGGAGGTGTGTAAAAATATCTCTGCAGATTTCTTTGGAGAACTGAACACAGCACTCATCATTCATTTATTCAAGCAAGCATTCATCTTTTCTGCGCAGGGCCTCATAGAAACCTAGTGACAGTGTGCCAACTGTGTCTGCAGCTCTCATAGGCAGACCTGTATAGACCTGGGAATGCATGAAAGCAGCTAAAATTATTTAAGCATAAATGTGACAAATTAAAGATGATTGTTGCTCTTTTGTTCATTGACTCAGCTGCTTTGGGTTTTAATTCAGGGACCCTCCAGAGACACATCTTCTGTGTGTTCTGTGTCTCGCTGTCTGTCTCTTTCTCTTACACACTCTCACAAGTACATTCTGTCGCTCACTCTCAGTCACTCTCAGTCACTCTCACTCTCTCATTCTCTCTCTCTTTTCTTTCCTTGCTATAAGTGCTTTGGTTTCTGTGTGCTTTGTGTTATATAACAACAAATGCCTGGCACAGCTGGCACAGGCCCATGTCCCAGGACACTGAGCGATGGAATAAGGTCTTTGCAGTAAATTTAGCTCGTTTTCTGGCCTTTTTTATCTGTATGGTCTGGCCTATTATTCATTTGATTATCATTGGCCAAGTACTAATCTTTTAGCTGAATGTTTATCATTCCATTTATTTTTACCTATGAAAACACTTATGTATGTTTTGGTATACTATTCAAATCTAATTCTTTAATTTTATATTTGATTACATAGTGAACTACACAGTGAACTACATTCATATTTGATTCACTTTCTGCATCCACAGGTTCTGCACGGCCAACTTTTTCCACTTGTTTCAATGTCAAATAAAAACATACTGCAAAAACATGACAAAAATGACATTTTTTCTTAATGCAAAAACAAGACTGTACACACAGCCACACAACAATAATGTAACATCAATAATAACTCTTCCTCTAATGAACACAAATACGGTGTTGATTACAAGTTTAGAATCTACTTCTGACCAATGCTTTGGTTAACACTGCAGCTTCTAAAGGTTCATGATGTTTGACCTGGAACACAAACCGATGTCGACTGTCAAGGCGCTGTTAATGAGAAAAGACAGAAAAAACGTCTGTCCTACAACACTGAAACTGGACATCTGAGATGAGTCTAAATTTGTATTTGAGATTACTTTGATTGTGAAAAGTACAAAGTACAACAAACTTCTGAGACTGAACTTTGGAGGTGTGGAAAATTATCCCTGCAGATTTCTTTGAAAAACAGAAAGAAGTCACCTGAAAGGAGTGGAAGCTGTAAATAAGGGAAAGAGTGGACACACTAAATACCGAAAACAATGATGCTTAGTGTTGAAGTTTTTGTGTAATTTACTGTTTTATATCTTTTTGAGGGCTGAAAAATGAATAAATTGTACTGAACGGTCATTTTGGCTAGAAATTTAAAAAAATGAACTTGTGGTAATCCACATGTATATAAAACAGATCCAAACACACAGACATAATTAGACACAGTAGTAACTTCGACTGTTGGCCATTTTTGGCTCTCCGTTCTGCAGAATGATGTCCTGTTGATTTCTTTGTGAAATATGGTCTGAACTCTTGGGCTCGTGGTCTCAAGGCTTTTAAAAATGCATGAAAAATATATAGCCATAAATCATACAGCTATGTCCAGAGGGTTATGAGAGCCCATGCTGCTGAAATGTCAGGGTGAACATGTTGTGTAAAAGATGGTGGGAATGCAGAGTGTGTTCTTTTTTTAAAGCTTCTACTGTACCAGGACTTCAGCTGATGTAACTACTGTCTTCTGTCTGTTTCAGATTTGCTTCCTGGTGTCAGCATTCAGGGGCAGGATGTTCTCAGAAGACAGCTGTGCAACTCTGGGCCTCTTCTTCCACTACTTTCACCTCAGCCAGTTCAGCTGGATGCTCATACAGGTTGGAGCCAAGCACAGTATCTAATCCATAATAGAAGCCAAATCATTTAAAGTGATAGTTTAGCCAAAATCTAATTGCCACAGTTCTACTGTTCTCAAATGCAGCCGAGCAGACATGTTTGGTGCCTGAAGTTTGCTTTTTTAGTTTTAGTGCTGGAGCTAAAAAGTTAATTTAGCTAACAGGTTTGGGCACACCTGGTCAGATTATGTGTTTTGTTGATTTTCTATGCTAAATAAGTAAACAATCCTCTGCAGAGAACACACATCTGTACATTTTAATACACGCAGTTACTGTTCATTAACTGAATTTAACATGTAGGAAAAATAAAACATAAAGGTTATGGTACATTCTCTGTTTTATGTGTTTTTCCAACATGTTAAACTCAAAAAATAAATAGAAATCGTGCGGTAGAATTTGCAGCAAATATATAAATTTATTTAATGTAGAGAATGTGTTAACTTACTTAGAAAATCTTCAAACATTTGCATACGACTGTATATCCCCCAATTAGCACTGTGTAAACTGTATGCTGTCATCATTACTCACCTCAAACAGTGTCAAGTTGTTAGGTGATCTCATTCAGGCCAGTTTAACTGTCAGAACCTAGCACTGGCATATTTTTACTGCAAATGGTTTCACACATTTTTAGCCCTTAAATGATATTTTAATTCACAATTGTTGTCAACATCTTATTGCACAAATTGTGATGTCCTCAGTGTGAACGGCCAGCGACTCCTTAAGTTCTAAATTATGTACAAAATACACTGCTACAACATTTTTCCCCTCACAATAACTATAAAATTGTCTGTAACATCAAAACAGATGTAGAAATGTTCAATTTTGCAAGCATATCTATTTTGTCTCTTCTCTTGAGAATTCTGCCACTAGAATCATACAAAATACACTCCTGTAACTTTTTCCACCAACAGAAGCTGATTCATTACTCACTCCTGGTAATTTCCCAGCAATTATCTAGGTATCATGCCATTTGTTCCTCAGGCTTGCGTTCACACTTAACCTCAACCTATCGTTAAATTCCCCCCCATAAAAGTGCCTGTCTGAAAGGGGCTGAAATTTGTTTATGTTGTTTGCCACACTGTTGTGACGTACTGTTCTTTATTAGCATGGACAAAAGTACAAGCTATGTTTTAATCATAATTAAGCGCAATGCATGTTACGCTAAGGTTATCTCTTGAAGCAGAACTTTTTTTACTAGAAACAGATTACACAACAGCCTTTAATGATCTTTATCATAAGTATTCTATTGAGATTAAGCTGGTTTTGTTGAGAGTGACTTGATTTCTATGAGTGTAAAGGGAATCAAGAAACAGTTCCCTTCCAAGCTCATTTTAAAATTTTGGCCCCATCTTTCAACTTTCTTTGTAAATCTGATTAGGAGATCGGAATTATCAGAACAAACAAACAAATATCAAAGGTATCAGCGCTTAACTAGTAATTTAGAAATTACTCTTGGCCTGGCTAACTTGCTTCTCCTTCCACTCTCAGCTCAGATAGGCTCCAATTTAAAACAAAAATAGGCCTCATTCATCCCGGCCTACTTAAAAAACACGTGTTTTTACGTAATCTCATGCACGACTTGCTCCAGCTACGTGTAGTTCTGCTTGCATGGCTCTTTGAGAAGGAGACGTTTTAACATGCCTACTGCCCCTTTTCCGAGACCTTTCACAAATCCTCAACCAACTCTCATCCTTCAGCCCTCACCCTTCTCCCTTCTGGACTAATCCTTTTTTCACCGCCCCTCAAAAGTTCTAAAATTGCTGCATATGGCCTTGAATATAACCTCACCCAAGTTACGAAGGTCAGCTTGTTCTCCCAGGGCTCAAGAAGCAACAGGATGTGGCATGAACGTGCTCAATGAAAGTTAGAAGAACATTGCTCGTAATCCCTACACACAGATGCAAACATTGGGGCCTTGGTTGTTTTTCTCTTTCTGTATGAAAAGGAATTGGACCCAGTACAGACCCAAGAGGTACGCCCCTAACCCAATGCGACCTTAAGCTCTCAAAATCAAAGACTGTTTTTCTCACATAAGGGATAAGCTGTTTTTTACCTCAATGTTGAGCAAAGTGAATGGGGGGGGGTTGTTTATATAGGGGAGATAATCCCCTTTTGAATTTGATATTTATTACAGTGAGCACTGAAATATTACTGTGAGGTACTCAGAGAATGCTAATCTGCTAGGGTTGTGTGAGGTCAAACATGTACATGCTGTCAGATGTTTTTCAGGATATTTCACATTCTATTCTAAAGTTCTGAAACAAATAGGTCACAGTAACTCTGATTACCTGCATGCGTGTGTGTTTAAATGTGCGTCTGAGCAGAAATACACATGGAACTAATTCTTGCTCAGTTAGTAATGGGAAAGGTAAACCATGATTCAGAGTGGAAAGTATTTATGTCCTGAAACAAAATGTGTTGGGCAGGTGCTGTTTTTCTTATAATCACAGCTGGCAAATCATATCAGAATTAATGGCAGCCTTAGGCTAGATATGTGAGTAATTAGTGCTCCTCTTTCTCATTCACTTTGGGTGTCATGATCTCTTAGTTTTTCCCTTTTCCTCTGTTTTATTAATTCAAAACCCTTTTCTGGTCTGGCTTTGTCTAGTTGTCATTTGCCTATGTGCCTGCATTTGCCTATATCTTGTCTGTATTTCAGTCAAGTGTTCTCTTTCTTTGTCTTACCAAGTCCATGAAGGAATTAAAAACTTCAGCAGTTAGCAGTTTTTCTCATGAAAGCTATCTGCCTATTACAAATCCAGGACTGGTGCCTTCTTTGTGGAATTCACAACCAATAAATGATCGTAATGGAGCCGTAATGTCAACTGATTTATTAGCCAAAATGTACATCAGTGTCACCCAAGTACATCCTCTCAGTCAATGAAGATCAAGTTCTAAGGAGAAGTGTACATTCCCATCTCTTCTTTACAAGCCAATCAATGAAGACCATTGATTTGAGAGGTCCCTCCCAAGCCTAATGAATCAGATTTCGGTGGCTAGCCAGCATCTGTCTAAGTGGAAGTCTCCAGTCAGTCATAGTTGGAAGGCTAGGGACTCATGGCATGGTGCCAGCTGGATGACATACCCACTGAAAACGCATCAAGTATTCCATAGGCACATCTAGCTCTCCCTGAGCTGTTGTTAATTCAGACTTTCACACAGTTACATAATAACCGGGAACTCTCCCATTTTCCTGAGCTTCTTCCAAGACCAGCACAGCAGAAAGGTGCTGCAGCTACTCCATATCCCATTAATATAGCTATTACTGATGGAAATAGATAAAAGTGTAAGCTCAGGGAGTTTCAGTGTATCTTTTCATTTATTCAACATAAGCATTTCGCTGCTTGAGGTTATGTAACTCTAAGGCTCGTGGAGGTTGCATGTCAAAGGTTAGAGGTCTTATGATATCAGGTGTTGACCTCATTGATGCCGCACTAGAGATCAGTCCAAGAGCTCTGGTAAACATCAACTAATCTGGGAACAAATAGTTCCAAAGTGGAATATTTTGAATAATGTGGGGCTTTTAAGGTCATGTGAAGCCAGTAAGACTGGAACTTAACAACTGTAAGATGTAAAACATTTGAAGATTTACAGATTTATGAAGCAGTTGAGTCATGTGAGAAGAAACGACCTGAACCACACTGTTCACTGAGAAGGTTTTTTGTTATTTGCACACATGTATTTTATATATATATAGTATATATATTTATATATATATATATATATATAGTGTTATATGCCAATTATTGTGAAAGGCTTTCAATTGAGTGAATGTAATTATAACTCAAAATCATGAGTTGTTAAGTCAGTATTTTGTGGCCGCCAATTATCTTAAATCAGTCGAGTACAACCAACTCAAAAGATATATCTCCTGCAGGTGAGTACACAGATAGACCCCAGGGCAGGCTTGAGCCCCTGTCAATTGGCCCTCAGACTGTGAAGGTGCCCTCTTTGTCAGCGTGTGTAATAATTATGTTCTGTAGTCTTCAAAATCCATTCTGGCTCAGGTCGGCTCAGGTTCCATGAGCTTCATTGCTCTTGTGCGCCCACCACTGGTGCAGTACCGGTGACTGTGGAAACTCTACTTGGGCAATAAAGTCCACGTTTAATTCACATTCATAGAAATAAGAGCTATTTAACAGAAATCAGCGGTCTGCTAAGAATGCTGGGAAGCTCCACCTTCCATCTGGCTTCTTGTCTACTAATATGACGTCAGACATAAAACCTTATCTACAACTGCAAATAGGACTCTACTAAATAAAAAATCAACTTAAAAAAAAAAGAAATGGTTGAACAAACTCAATATGTTTGATTTTGTTGAACTGTTAGATATGTTTGAAGTTTTCCCTCATTCAATCCAGTGAATGTATTTCAGCACTGGAGTTTATAGGACACAGGTCAGGTAAGCCCAACAGTAAAACCTGCATTTTACAAAAGTAAAATATAAAACCTTGGATTCTTATGTTTTCAGCTGACTCGAAAAGAGCAGTTGGGTCATGTGGCAAGAAATGATCCAAACCACACAAATACTTCCACATCAAGATGAAATCATAAGTTTTAAAAGCTCTCAGGTATCAGGCAGTTCATGCTTTATAAGCCACAATGTTCAAACAGATCTGCATAGTGAGTTGGGCTGGTGTAACAGACAGATCAGTGACTGCAGAAACGTTTATTTGACTCGGTGAATGCTTTTAAAGGTGTGATGTTGAGAAGATGCAGAATTTTAATGGTGAATAATGTTCTCCTATAAATAAATGTAGATGTGTTTTTCTTCTGAGATGTGTTAATCTTCACTTAATGACGTTACGGAGACGTTACAATGAAATTTGCTTCCCCATTTCTTGTAATCTCACAGTTCTTGTACATTCTCTGCAGGCCGTGAACTTTTGGCAGACGCTGGTGATGAATGACGAGCACACAGAGAGACGCTATCTGCTCTACTTCCTGCTGAGCTGGGGGCTTCCTGCCCTGGTCATCATTATCCTCGTCATAGTGCTGCTGGGAGGTTACGGCTGGAACATTCATGATGTCTACGGGCTGGTGCATGGAGATCTGTGAGTGTCTACAGATGCATATATACTGACCTTCAAAGATTTGAGGACACATTGCATTTTTGTTTCTCACCCTTTTTTTTTCAGCTATATAAAAAAAGGTTTTTGTAACATAAAATAGCATTTTACTGATACTTTGGGTGTATTATTCCTCAACACTCAGCTTCATGCTCGTCAGAATGTTTCCTTGGTATGAAGTGCAGCCTAAATAATGAGGGTCAAACTCTTAACAATAGCACATATTGGTCCAATTAAGGTTTAAACAGCTGAAAGGTTTGTTGTGACATCACAACAAGGGGATAAAGCGTGTGGAGTTTGGCATTATTCCCAGGGTAGCGCTGTTGAAAACATGCACATGGGTCAGGCTAGCTTTGAGGTGGCAAACAGGGTACTAATGCTTTTATGTAATTCAAGAGTAAAACATAGTTTTTGTAAATATAACACCAGTGAAATTGGAACATGAGTGACTGTAACACCACTGACTTAGTTTTAAAGTCACATTGTAGAAAATTACAAATGCTGCATTTATGTTTGTTATTTTATTTCAATTTTGAAATCACAATGTTTAATGAGTGACACCACTAATCTTTTTTCAACACATGAAGCTGTCGGTATTTAACCAAATTTATCAGAAATATAAAGTTTAATCATGGGCTTCTCAGAGTTAGTCTTTCTTCCTTTGAGATATCCAAACAAGAAATCTTTAAAAAAAAATCCTTTTTTTTTATACAACATTTTGTATTTCACGTAGTACACCAATGACAGAAAGTCTTGGGACAAAATCTGTTACCAAAATAAAGCTTTTTTTAATATTTGAAATGAATTTAGCATAGGACAGGCAGTCATTTTAATGCATATGTACAATGTGAGCTGAAGAACAAGCATCAAAATTGTTGTTTTACATAAAAATGAATACTTAAAATCTTCTGTGAAGTAACTGCTGTGACATGCTGTTTTTCATCCACAAACTGGTTAAAAAACACCAACATAAAGATTCAGAGAGAAGAGTAATCACATCATCAACTTTCTGTGCTTTATTCTTATTTCGAGCTCAGTTTCTTGGCTTCAGATTTGTGGGACACCATTTGCCACTGCAGTGCGAAAATAACGTGCTTATCACTGTTGTCGGAAGAAAACATCGTATCCCTAAAATAATAACTTTACAGGAGAAGGAAAAAACTTCTTTAGTTTTAATGTAAGTCAATGGAACCATACTTTTTTCCAATTTGTTGTGCCCTTCTGTTTGCCCATTCATCATAAAATTACAGACAATGTAAAGGGTAACAGGTGTTTTCAAATTATGTCAAAAACAGAAAAACGTTTTCTTCCAACAGCGGCGCTGTATTGAAAACAATTTCATAAGTTAGGTGTCCCAAGACAATTGACAGGCCATTGTAAGCGTGATCTGTTCTGTAATTACACAAGGCTCTTTCTAATCCTTAAATGGAAAGAATAGGCTCAGATAACCCGACTGGCTTCTTTTCTCTTCTTGTCTGTTTCTCTTCTTGTCTGTGCCCCTTTTACAGTACCCTGCCTAGGCTGGGTGAAGGTGGGCTGTGCTGTTTGTAGGGATTAAAGCAGGGCTATTTTTAGCTGCTCTGTGGTTATGAGGTCACAAACTGGTGCCTGTGCATACATTCAGTTTTACACCCCGCCCAGCCTCGGGTGATAGTGAAGGGCTTTAGTTTCTTCTCTCCTTCCTCCTTCTGAGCAGCATTCCTCAGTCTCCAGGGCGGGTACAGTCCCAGCCTCCTCAGGAAAGGTAAATATGCCTCTCGCGGAGAGACAAACAAGTGATGTCACCTCACCTCATCTCTCACACGGCCTTCCAGTTCCCGCCTCTACACAAGGAAGCGGCCTTCAAGGCTGTGCGGACTGGCACGTCTTGGAGGAGTTTAATTACAGAAACGTGTTCATTGTACTTCATATTACTCACTTCTACCCACACGGAAAATAAGGTGACATTACCAGAGTTGTAAACTCCTGTTAACCTGTTAGCATCTTGTTGGATAACAGTGGCTGTGTTAATGATTTGCTATTGCTAGCTATCACACTATGTAAATGGTTATTTTTTTCAGTAATCTTTTACACTAGGCAGAGGAAAGAGAGGCGCATTCTACCACGGAGAAAATGTAACACGTTTTAATATTTTATTCAGATAAACAAGTTCAAGCAGAATATTGTTTTTAGCTTTCTTCTCAACAATTGGATGGACGTTTCCCAAGATTCATCCTGAGTCCAAAAGTCACAGAATTCACACCTGTATTGTTTCAGTCGCTCTCTCGATGGCTGTAATATAGCACTGTTTTGAATTATGCAGTCAGCTGACAATGAGAGCTGGCCAAGCTAAAGTACAGCTTCTACACAATGGGGTTAGTTTTAACACAGTGTTACAACTAAACCTCCCAAAGTAAACAATGACAGACATTAATTCCTCCCAATATGAATTCAGAACAATTCATTTTTTGTAGGTTTTCATGCAGATTCATAAGCAATGTACTGCCAGTGCTGTACGAAGAAAAGAAATTTCAGTTTTTGTACTCATTATATTCATACCTGCTGTTCTAGTTTGTAGTCAAAGATAAATTCACCACATTTGACACAACTTCTTTCACTAATCATGTGCGTATATTTTTTCATTTTTAAGTTGGAAACATCATCTGGCTCAAACATCATAGAACTGCATCAATTTACCAAACTTTGTAGCAACTGTTACAGCAAACCCCCTTCTGTTACAATTAACCCCCCCCCAAAAAAGTCACATTTACTTAAACATGTCATGTCACTTGTTAAGCAGCTTCTAAGATATTCAACAGAGTAATAAGTACACATTGTATTCAATTAAATCACACAGTAAATTCTAATTACCTGCACCGATAGTTTTTATGTGTTGCTCCAACATTCAACTTAATATGGTTATGTTCTACTAATTAAAGTAGAATAAGCAAATCAGGTTAATAGGTTTGACTTAGATCTATATAATTTGATTATGACTAAGTTGTGACTGTACTGCTGAGCTGTCATACAGTTATCCTAAGCAGTACAACAGCCACCAAGACAGCATGAAGAGGATGAGCGAAAAAAGCAAAACAGTATGCAAACAGATGATGCCAGGAGCCAGTGGGTAAGATGTTACTCAACAAGGTCATAAACATTCTTGCTAAAAAACAAAGTTTATGTTTTCATTTGTAGGAGAGAGGTGTAGATATCGGTCTTGCTAAAATACTTTTAAAATTATTCACCAAAACCAAAACTGTATTAGGCTGTGCTCTGCTGTCCCCTAGTCTTTTACACTGGGTCAATAATTAATCAGTAAAACTTTATTTGTCCATTAGAGGATATTTCATCAACAGACAGTTTTACATTAACCACATTAACCACAAACAAACACCACACATGACCTCTGCCCCTTAAAACATCTCCTCATAAAAATGTAGAAGCATCATCAGGAGATATGGTGCAGAACCTGAATTCTCCAATAGTGGTGTACTAAAACTACTTAAACATGACTAGCTTAAGTCTACTGGTTGACCAGAAGCCCAAAATGTCTAAAAGAGACGATTTGAAGTTACAAGTTTATGTTAAGTGTGCTTAAATGGACCAATTACTGACCAAGTGTGCTGGAAAAAGATAAACATTTACTGTGTGTATTTGTTGTCAGACAAACTTTGCAAGTCTAACACTTTTCAGCCTTGGAAAGAAGCTGGAGTAACTGTTTTTGTGCCTTCTGCCAAATCCTCTATCTCCCCTGTCTAGCAATCCACAGGAAACTGTCTTTCCTCTTCACTCTTCTGAGCTGATTGCTATTGACAGCTCTCACTCTCAAAATGACACTTGAACCATCCCACCACCTGCCGCTGCCAATAGTTTTATAATAATGTCAAATATAAAGTGATCAGACCACCTAGAGCCTGTAGGGCTGCCCTTGTACATATGTACCTGAAGAACAGGAAAGTGGAAAAAAGCCAAGTTTTTGTAGCGTGCACCCAGCATTAGCAGGACCTGTTTTTTAATCATATTGATTGGTTTCAGCTCTAATTAGGCTGCCTGCTCTGAATGGCCTGTAGACCATTAGGCCTCACTGTTAATCCGCTGACTAAATAACACCTGCTGGTAAAGCTTTTCAGCTGGACGGGATGCACAGGATGAGGTTGCCATGAGAACCCGTCAACTGCCATTATTCAGTTTCAAATGACCTTTTAAGAACGTCAGGATTACCTCAAACTTCATAAAATGAGTCTTTATGAACAGCTTTGTTACAGGAGCCTGGCTGTAACTGAAATGGATCCCCCACTCTCTCATTAGTATTGTGCTATATAAGGGAGAACTGTATAGTTTACTAAACAGCAATACAAATGCATTCATCAATAAACGAGTTTAGGGGAGTGTACTGTTTTATAGTGTTTCATATAGGAGTAGACAGAGTCTTATGAATTTCTTTTTCATTGGGTCAGTGGCAGTGGTCAGTGGTAGAGCTAGGCCATCAGTGTAGGATATAAATGTTAAAACTCAAAAAATTGATTGCACGCTTTGTAAATCAAAACACTGATTCTTCAGGCAGTTACTGATTATATTAGTAGATAATCTGACATGTAAGACTTTCAGTTTAAATCCTGAAGTCCTAACTAATAGGAGAGCTTGTTTGGCTGTATCTAGATACCACAGAGGTTAAATCTTGATTGGATAGTTTTCCATTGGCTGTTTTAAGGATCTACCGCTTTTTTTTAATCAAAACTGATCAGTGAAATAAGAGAATTGCTACATTACTTGTACAGTTTAAATACAACAAGATTATATTAAATTATTACAAACACAGGCCTCCTCTGAAGGCCTAGAAGCATCTGAGGTTTCCTCACTGCTATTGACGTTAAATAACGTTCCTCTGTCAATTGCTTATTAACAAGATACTTGCTTTACACTTTGATATACATTCAGCTGATATAGTAATCTGTGGTGTTCAGTAAAATCTATAAGTGCTCTGTGGGAGAGTGTCCAAGTCATAAAATAGACTTACAGTCTTAAAGATATGTCCTAAAGGCTTATCCTGAAATACTTGTATTTAAATAGCACTACTGGATAGAAGGACAGTAATTTAAATGTTATTATTTATGTGTTATAGATTAGTTCTGTTAACCTAAAATGTGACTAAAAGTAAAAAAATGAAGAAAGACCCTTCTACAAGTAGTTGTGTTCAAACTTGTGCCTAGTGTATGCATGACGCATTACATGTATACACTAATTCCCCTAGAAGCATTTTTCCAAAGTCTGTGAAGGATTAAACAGTGGATAATGATAAAGCCTGAGCATTTCTGATGTCGTACGTAAGCGCACATAATATGAGTGGAGAGCATTTTGTTTACTTGCCCAGTGATTAACAGCTCTCTGCCACCTCCCACCACTCCCTGGGGCCATTTATCGGGCCAGTCTACGTCAGCTAGCTTTGTGTGACCTCTCTCTATTTTCTTAATCTGTCCTCACTCTATCCCTCTCTCCACCCTTTACTGTTAGTCAGCAGGCTACAGTTACAGCTCTGCCTCAGCGTCTCTCCATCTCCCCAACGTGGAGCTAATATTACGACAAAGCAGCAGGAAGACATGGTCGCCGTGTAGGATATGTGACCTTCAGAGTGTAAAAAGAGTAACTTGTTTACTTCTCATAGTTTAGCAGTGAAAAGCATAAAAGAGTAATGCCGTTCTGTTTCCTATCATATTGCACTGGACTTTCCACTGCATAAAGTGGGACTATTAGGTGACAACAACCTTTACAGAGAATTTGGTGCTCAATGTAATCTGATGAGCAAGACTGAGAGACTTGCAGAGAACCTTTATCTCTTCTGGACAAGGGTGTAGTTTTGGTTTCAGATATGGTAGAGAAGTGCTATGGAGTTGGAGCCCACCCTCAACACACACTAAGTTCTGTATGACAGCAGCTATTGACAATGTTAATGTTAACACCAGGAAATCTGGTAATAGATAGTGAGGAAGCTTTAATATTGAATATATTACGGGCAGAATGGATTAACTTCTGATGAGTTCATCTTCTGCTTGATAGTTTGAGTATTTCAATGAATTACTTTCTTTCTTATTTGCTTTCAGCCAGTGGTGTGCATTATCTCAGAAACTATTACTAGCATGGTTGTGGAAATATGTGTAGCATCACAATGGACATAAGTAGCATCCATGGAAATAGTATAGCATACCCATAGAAGTGATTGTACTTTATCCATAGAAATTGGTATAGCGTAACCATTGAAAAAGCGTAGCATAACAGTGGAAATGAAAGTCGTGTAAATAATGAAAAGATGAGTATAGTGTTACCATTGAAAACGGTGCAGCATAACCATGGAAATGAGTGCATAATCATGAAAATCAGTGTAGCATAACCATGGAAATGGCATAGCCTAATCATGAAACTGGTTGTACTGTAACCATAGAAATGAGTGTAGCATAACCACAGATATGGTTTAGTGTATTTATGGAAATGGATGTAGTGTAACCATGAAAATGGGTGGAGCATAACCATGGAAATTGTAGAGTATAACCGTAGAAAAAAGTGTAGCATAACAATGGAATTTGTATGGCATAATCATGGAAATGGGTGTAGCATAACCATGCAAATTAGTGTAGTGTAAGCATGGAAATGGGTGTAGCATAACCTTGAAAATGAGTGTAGTGTAACCATGCATATGACTGTAGAGTAGCTGTGAAATTGGCATTGCGTAGCCATGGAAATGGGTGGATCATAACAAAGATAATGGTATAGACTAACCATAGAGCAACCATGTAAATAGGTGTAGTGTGACAATGTACATCAGAGTAGCTAATTGATCTATATATCAACAATGATTCAGGTTGATTTTCAACAATCAATCCATGTTTTAATTCCAATCTATAATTCTACTTCTAATGTCTATCATCTGGATAATAGGTCATCTGGGTCAAGAGCAGACCAACTCTATGTACCAGTGTCCAACACAAACTCTTACTTTGAAAGTTGGGAGACGACCAAAAACATCTTTTTGAAAAGTGAGAGCAACATGTACCCTCACTGCAGTGAAAACTACACCTAAGTTTCTAGATGGTGTTGTAAACCTTTGTTTTTAAACTGTCTGACCAGCTCAAAGCTACATAAGCATAACACATTCTCTGTTACACCAGTATCTGCTCCTGCTGAAGGCACTGTATTCTTGTATATGAATGTAAAGCATGTGGCACAAGCTTTACATAATACAGGAGGAATCATTCATAATACAACAAGAATATCTGAATCCACCTACTCAAGGCCACAGGCATAAAACCAAACGGAAAACTGACCAGGTTATCACTCTCCTCACACACATAGGCTGCACTATTCACGACGCCCTTTTGCATGTTTTGAGTTCTGCAGTCCTGCCATGCCTTGCGTGCCTTGCGTGCCTTGCGTGCCTTGCCTGTAATATGAGTTTGGGTTTATTTGTCAGTCTTGTTTGGCTGGCTGAAGAGACGCTGCCCGGTGAACAGAGGGCATGTACTGATTATTTGGACGTCCAGCACGTCAAAACAAAATCAGCCCACTAAGTTTTCCCATGGCAAAGGCCAGTAGGAGGCTACCTAATTGCACAGTGGTGAAAAACAAGTGCCGATTGGAAGGAATTCCTGAGATTAAAAGGCTGAGAGCCATTGGGTAGCTAGCCAAGCAGAGACTAGTGGGAGAGTGCAGAGTGCTGTGAAGTCAGACTGATATTTGGCACCGTGTCTGTATGTATGCCAGAATGAACATGAACTCACGCGCTGACCTTTCATGCCAAAATACACTGCACAGATGTATACAGTACTGTTTACACACACAAACAAGGTCAGAGCAGAGGGCAATAAACAACTCACTGCATATATATATATATATATATATAATATTATTATTTTTTGGTTCACACAGTTTGTTCGTTATTTTATGGTCACACTGTTATTACCTTATTATTACCATTTTATTACCTTTCTATTTCTCTATATCCCTTGATTTTATTCATTCTTTTCTACTCTGCTACATTAGAAATGTGGGTTGTCATTCAGTGTACATTGCCAAAGTTTGCCCCCTCCCCGATCAAATGGCGTGTTTTGTTTGTTTTCTAAGTAAAAATTAGTACACATCCCCTACAGACAACACTCATTAATACAGAGTTATTGTTTATTTGCTGAATTTAATATATTGAAAGAAAATCATGTCATGCACAAAAGTTATGGCATATTTTAGATGTTATGTTTTTTTCCAATGTTAAACTCAGCAAAAAAAAAAGAAATTGTGCACAAAATTTGCTCAGAAATGCCATATTTCAGTTTGTTCACTTCTTTTCACATAAACAATCAACAAAACATGTTATTTGACCAGCGATGTTAAAACTTGTATACAACTCTCTTCTCCCTCTCTCTTTAGGTGCTTCATCCCAAATGTATATGCGGCTCTTTGTACGGCTGCCTTCGTTCCTCTTATCTGTTTGGTGGGAGTGCTGGTGGTCTTCATCCATGCCTACCATGTCACACAGCAGTGGAAGGCCTATGATGATGTGTACAGAGGCCGCACCAACAGCTCAGGTGTGTGTGTCTGTCTTTCTGTCTGTCTGACAGTCTGTGCAAAGTTGTATTTAGTCTTTGCTTATGCTTTTGCTTTCCTACAGATAAGAGCTGTTTTACAAAGTGAAAGCTGATAGTCAATGAAAACAAAAACTGAAAGTAAATTCATGGTGGTGCTTTCCAGGGGAATATTTCATTTCACTGTGTAATTTTCACAGCCTTTTGATTTTTCTCTTGCCAGCCAAAAGTATCTCTCTCTCTCTGCCCTTATCACAACATATATACAGTACAGTGCAAAACATTTTAGCCTTCTAAGAAAGTTTTATTTAACAAATATTTGTTTCCTGCAGTACTTTTTTTATTTTATCAGCAAACACAGTAGTATTAGAGTAAATACAAAGAACATTAGTAAAATGAATAGGGAATTTTATGTACATCAGTGTGCTTGTTTAACCTTTTCCAAATCTCCCCTAAAGGAGCACAGTCTTATCTGTAGTTATCGTCTTACACTTGGTTTGGTAATCAGCCCCTCGTCGTGCTGGTTAACAATGGCAGAAATCTGTGATGTAGAAATGGGAGAGCGGATACATTTGAAAACAAACGTCCTTCTAAGTAGCTCACAATATATCAACAACGTTAAAAAAAAACAAAAACAAGAAATTCTTGTTAATGTTTACTGCCTGAATGTTTGCTTGCATTAATTCTAATGTTATAAAGTGTTTTTACAAACAAAAACTATTTATAAAGACTTCGGCACAGTATTATACAGAATATGGCCAAAAGTTATTGAGTTCATAATGGTCTTGGGCTGTTTGTTAAGGATTTGGTTTGGCCTCTTAGTTCCAGTGAAGGGTAATGTTAATGCTACAGCATACAAACACATTTTGGACAGTTACTTGATTCCAACTTGGTGGCAACAGTTTGTGGAAGGCCTTTTTGTGTGCACAAAGCAAGCTCCATAGAGACATGGATTGATGAGTTTGGTGGGTAGGAACTCAAGTGACCTCAACCCCACTGAACAACTTTGGGATGAACTGTCACGTCAGTTGCGAGCCAGGCCTTGTCATTCAACATCAGTACCTGACCTCACAAATGTTCTTTTGATTGAATGGACACAAATTCTCAGAGACAAAGTCTAGTGGAAAGCCTTCCCAGAGGGGGCCCAACTCCATATTAATACCTATAGTTTTTGAATGAGATGTCCAACAAGCTCATATCAGTGTGATACTCGGGTGTCTGTATAATTTTGGTCATGTTGTGTATATGTGTGTCTCTGGTATGTGGCATGTTACTACATGAAAAGTGTGGAAAATCATTCTAATCTGGGATTTCCCCTCATACAGTCTGTTCACTAGAATGTACACATGTACTACTTACATTGCTATCATTCCATGTAGTGCAAGCATGCATTTTCACTTTTATTCAGGCGGTAAAATCATGGTGTGCAAGTGTTTCATAGCATCAGCTGTTCTGTTCAAACTGAATTTTCCTCAGTTCCTTAAGTACAGGTTTTAATGTAGTATGTAAACAATGACAGATTTTTAAAACCATTCACTCCCTAGTGCAGAGGTTCCCAACCTTTTTTAACTCGCAGCCCAAACAACCGACCACAAGATTTTACAGATCCAGATCAGTTAAAGTGCAAATATAACAAAATAATCAATGTAGCCAATCAGTGTTGCTTGTTCTTATAATATAATGCAACACAGAAAACACTAAAAAATAACCAAACATGTTTTTAACTCACCTAATGAGTTAGCTGATGTTATTTGGAAGCTACCAAGTGCTAGATGACATGCTGAAGAAATGAAAGTTGCAAATGGAGGTCTGGCTCAGTTCAACAGGTCAGTAGGTTTAGATGCCTATTTGTTTAGCCTCCAGTTGACGGCTTAATTTGTTTGGCTACAAAGCTTCATTTAAAAAACAAAAGACCTCTGAGCATTCAACTCAGAGCGGTAGGTACTTGTTTTCTGTATTCAGACGTGTGGAGCCCAAAGGCCTTTACACACCAAATGGAATTTATTCGTGCAGTATTTTCAGACGACAGTAAATTAATTAGATCACGTCTGTGACTGATAATATCCTGCACACCAAACTCAGTCTTTTAATTGTGGAAAATGCAACATTATTTTATTCACACTTTCTTTGATATTTGCAAACTTTCGCCTGTAGCAGGATTCGTTTGTCCTCTGCTTAATCACCAATGGGTGTTAGCATCTCCAAAAGCAGCTCTATTTTTGCAAATAATTAGTCTACTTTAAAATAGTATTTGGTTAAATGTCTAGTTGTTTATAAAGAAATAAATGAATGAATGAATTAATGCGATTAAATAAACAGGGTATTTCAAACGGACAGATCCATAGGCTGGACCACCAGCCACCGCATTTCAGACTGAGAAACGCAAGAAAACAAAGTATATACATCAAAACAAAGAAAAATACAGCAGTGAGTACTGTGCCATGACAAAAACAAACAGGCAGAGTGCGTTAAGGTGACAAAGATATGCGGCCCCCTAGTTGGCCACAGTGGTGCTGCTAGGGGACCGTGGCATGCAGGTTGAAAACCACTGCCCTAGTTTATACAGTCATTATATGGAAACTAAGCTGCAAAAACAGCCCATTTGTTTTTGTTTCATGATGAAAACCAGTGCATTTACATGCATCTGCCTATTCTGCTTAGAGCAGTTTACACCCATTTACACTGAAGCTATAAGGAGTGTTTCAGCCTGTTTTGAATGAGACACAATACAGGGCATATACATCTTAAAGGAACAGTAACAAAAGCAGCCTGCTTAATTATAAGGGATGAAGTGAGGTTGGAAAACAGTCATGTAAAAATGAATTATGACTGTTTTTGCACACAAATGTCAGAAGTGAACCTTCTAAAATACAAGAAAAATGTAGGAAATGGGCAAAAGTACAATCTCAGAAAAATATAGACTTGCCCTCTGGTAACAGTAAATTATGCTGACAAATGTATCATTTATGTATAGCTATATGCATTTGTGTGTGTTGGTGTGCGTGGGTGGTCGGGGGCTCCCACATTCTGTGTTAGCTTTCCCAGTCTGTTCTGGAGCGTGCTTAAACTACACAGGGCTAATCCTCAACCGCATAGCTATTTTAACAGTGGACTGCGGTGCCAGCCCACCCGCCTACTGATCTGTCACCCTCACAGCTTTGCACATAGCTCACTGCCACACGCACACTTTTGCTTTGACTCATGAAGCAACAGTTGGCAAGACCTTAAAGTGAAAGTTTGGCTAAAACAATGTAATGTACACAGTTTCCCTCTTGCCTCAAATATAGTCAATGAGCCAAGATGCGTTTGGTGTCTGAAATTTGCTTCTTTAGTTTTGCACTGAAGCTATGAGGCTATTATAGCTAACTAATGAAAGCCAGCCCACCATTTAGCATAAGCCACACTGTTTAGAGACAAGTGTAAGATGATGAAAGCCTGAGATTTGCACAATGCTAACTAAACGGTCTATGTTGCCATTACTTGTTAGCTACTTAAGCCTCGTAGCTCCAGTGCGGATTTCAGACACCAAACATGTCTTGGCTGCTCAACTGCATTTGGGGTAAGGGTAAAATTGTGTAAATTAGATTTTTCACTAAAAAAGCCTCCGGTAACCTCAAAACCTCAATACTCCTAGGCTACACACATCTACACAAACAGTGACAGCATGCATGAAATCCTTTTGTTTATCTGACCTCCACTGCTTGTGACACAGACTTGTAGTATAATGGTGAGGCCAGCATCTTTAGATGTTCACTATATCTGGATGTTCACATTGTCAGGGTTTCCCATGAAATCCACCAATGATGTTTCTGTTGTTTTATGCAAAAAATCATAATTTGTTTTTATTTTTGACCATTTCTCAACCTCTCTTTATCCTGTAGTATTAAACAGGCTGTTTTTACTACTGTGCCTTTAAGATGTAAATGTGTAAATATTCTGATTTATATTGTGCCTTGTTCAAAAATGCAGTCTAGCCTAAAATACTAATAATTAACTTCAGCATGAATGAGTTAATCTTAGTTAATTAATAATTTTTGCTACATTTAGTTTACATTATGTAATTACTTTTATGTAATTATGTTGTTATTATATAGTTACTTACATACTGGATACATTTTCATTCATTGTATAGTTTACGCTCCTTATATAACAGTCTGCATCATTCATCATTTTGGTGTTTGCTTCGATATTAACAATTGAAAAAATATGGCAAAACAATAACTTTCCATCAACTTGAAATCATAACTAGAAGGGGAAGGTTTGTAAGTGAACTTTCCTAGGTGGTGCTAAGGTGTTGCTTTGCCATTACTACAGTATCCTCGGTGGTTGTTAAGATGTTGCTTTGTTGTCCCAGGCAGTTGCTAAGGTGTTGCTATGCATATGTAATCCCAAGTGGTTGCTAAGATGTTACTAAGTTATAGCTATGGAATCGCAGGTGGTCACTAAGGTGTTGATGGGCAGTTACAGTGTTATTCCAAGGGGTTGCTAAGGTTTTGCTAGGCCATTGCTATGGAATTCCAAGTGCTTGTTAAGGTGTTGCTATGTCGTGCTATAGAATCCCTAGGTGGTTGCAAAAGTGTTGTATGGCCTTTCTTTGGTATCGCAGGTGATTGCTAATGTATGTATTTATGTGCTAGTATGTATATGAGTCTGTATGTAATGTCTGTGAGGGTCAGTGTTAGAGATGTTCTTCATCACATATGATCAGTCCCATAATAAAATGAAGAACACTTAAGTTGGCTTTGTATATAAATATATATTCTATACACACACACACGTGGAACCAATTGAAAGTTTTGTGTCTGCACTTTTGACACTCTGCTAAAATAATTTCAAAATGTAATTAGGGCTGGTAACTAATGCACGGGTACTGCTAGATGTTTTCCTGTCAATAGAGTGCATCAGTAGTTCACTCAGCCCTTGCATCCACTCCCAGTGTAGGGAGTGAAGGAGCACCGCTGACTTTGCAGGTCATGCCACAGACAGAAAGAGCCAAGCTTATG